GTATACTCTCCTGTGCTAATACTTTTACTCAGAAGGGAAGGTACTTAGTCGTAATGGCGATTCAAAAAGTGGCACATACTGGCAGATGGTTTGGAACAATGATTTGAATCCTGTCATCCATCTCTGCGAAGTAAATATCGAAAAGAAAGTATAAATTACTCTTCCAAAGATGACTGGCAAGATCGGTAAATGCCTAACTCATCATCAACCCAAAAGAGCAGGGCAGAACAATATTGCTGAAATGAAATTTTCAAAGAACCACTCTTAGCGTCGTGGTCGCAGATATTTTAGGTCAATTATTGACAGGCCATGAAAGCTATTTTTGGCAGAGAAAATCTTTTCTTTTTGGAGAAATGCTTCGCAGATAGGGAAGGCAGAATTGAAATCACCATTTCAAACTGCATTCATCAGCATTATCACTTCCTAAATCGCCATTACGAAGTAAAATAACGCTTCAAACTTCTGCAAAAAAGACGTATTCACATAAAATTCCGTTGTGAAACTTCGCAATGTCATAATTTCTGTTAGAATAGATATTTTTTAGAAGAAACAGAGGAGTTAGACTCAGCTCGTCCATACTAAGGTATGCCACACGACAGTAACATTAAACTATGCGGTAGATACTGTAAGAAGTCAAAAAAATTCCTTTTGAAACTTTGCCTTGAGGGGTTGCATAACAACGCCACGAAATTTCAAATGGATTCGCGATGTTCTTCCTACCGTATCTACCGTATACCTTGGATGTTACTGTCGTATGGCATACCATAAGATTTGTCTTGGCGAGCTTAGTATAACGCCACTTTTCCTTATAAAAAATATCTACCTTGAAGTTAAGACAATGCGACAGATTTTGAAATGACATTTTTCTTCTGCAGAAGTTACGAGCAATAATGTAGTGTCGGACGGCTGGCTCATAACTATGCATGCCGACTATGCCCTACTCATATTACCTTTCTACTACTCTATATCTTGCTTACGCAAGCTTCTAAATGGTAGATTTCCACTCAGCTCTTGTAAAACCGAATCATTAGAATGGAGAATTTGTGAACCTAGTGGATAGAATGGCTGTTCACTTTCTTGGATATATTAGCCAAACTCCTGCATTATTATGACGTGCAAAGTTTTAGATGAGAGTATTGGTAGTTGCAAGAATATGTAATTTCAAGGATTTGCTGGAAAACAGCACCTTGAAATGCAAAAGTTTTTCAAATCGCTATGCAATATATCAGCTCATGCTTCATGTTGTGAGCCTATTCTCTGCTGCCTCAACAATATGAATGCATATTCTATGCATTGTCATAACAACTCATACTCTGTATGTTGACTTTACAGTTAGATTATCAGTATTGAAGATTAACGATTTGTTATTTAACATCGTGAAATTTTCTACAGACCTTTGATGTCTTGCTTCCAATTTACTTTATGACAGAAACTGCGCACTGTGAAAAGATTAGATGAAGTTGAATAACATTATATTGAAGATACTTCTGCGTTACGTCATGGACAGAAACATTGCAATCATACCGAAGTCTGTGAAAACATCTAGGATTCAAGAAAATTTCAACGTAGGTCAATTTCCAAAATTGTTAATGGATGTAAATTTCGCTTAATCAGGTCTTTGACTTCTCGCTGACTCCAGCTGAGATCAATAAGCTTGAGTCGACACCGCACCGTCAGAGACTCTTTACTCATGATTTGTGAGTATTCTTTTATTATAGTGTTATCAATTGACTTCTATTTTACTCCAGATCAAGTGACTTAGCTATCTTGTTCATCTTGGCAAATTCCATAAAAACTACTACAACTGTATCTGACGCTGCAGTCACAGTATTTTTTTACTACTCCATGTAAATCAAGACTTATATGCATGAGGGCTGACCTCAACATCTATCGTGCATGAGATTTTGCTAACCTCTAACCTCTTTTTTAGCATGGAGGGACATCCGGAGGATGCATTCAAGTCAGAACGAAAGCATTAACATTGACGAATGATCGACACCTTTAGCGCATGCATATGATGTTGTCATTTAGTCTGTTCTTACAAGTAATCGATGTATTCTCAATCAGTTGTTCGCGTTCTCCTGTAAGTAAATAGTTCGTGTCCGAGTGTTGCCTTGCTATTTTTTGCATCTTGCACGCTGCACCTTTATTCAATACGTATTTGCTCAATAGATGTGTGTTGAAAACTATAATTTCCGATAATGTAATACTGGCGAGCAAAAGTAGAGTTCCTCTGAGTGGCATTTTAACTTCGTTCAACCAAGCAGTGCCGAAAGTGGTAATGTGCAAGTCAGCTTTGAAACTATGGACCTAAAAATTTCGAAAAACAGCGTTATAAAATTGCTGCTCAGGCAGTTTGAAAGTTGTATTTTAACGGGATGGAGATGCTATACCTCAATAAACTGCGGGACCTTCTTATTATATTTTTTAGATCTACAACTATTATTCGATGCCACGCGTTATTTCTTATCGTCGCATAATTCGTTGCTAGCAACACTGGAAGACACAGATATTTGCAGCTGCACTGCCATAGGGTCATTTAGGTCCAATCAAACATCTTTCAAGTTTTACGTTCGTGAGCAAATCGGTTTGAAGAGGTTTTCGCTAAGGAAGTTTGAAGCTTAGCCAGGTTATTAATCAGCAAAGGCTTAGATGTTGGTTTCAATTCACTTGGCACAATATTTAGCTTAACAGACCATCAAAGGGACCAAAATTTGGCATTACACGAGAACTTCGGCGCCTACCTGGAGTATTCAAGATATGATCTTTGTCTGATCCTATCAACTGTTATAACTCCAATTGTTTGCT